ATCTGTTGACACATTTTTTCCATATCTTGACTATTGTGAATAATGCTGCAATGAACATGGGAGTACAGATATCTCTTCCAGATCCTGTTTTTATTTGCATCGTAAGCATAACAAGAAGTGCAATTGCTAGATCATGTGACAGTTATATTTTCAATTCCTTGAGGAACTTCCATACTGTTTTCCGTAGTGGCTGCACCAATTTAAACATCCCAACCAGTACATGTTTTCCCTTTTTGCATAGCTTTGCCAATACTTTTCCTCTCATCTTCTTGTTGATAGCCATTCTAACAGGTGTGAGGTGATAGCTTATTGTGGTTTTCACTTGCATATTCCTGATTGGCGATTTTGAACAAATTTTCATGTAGCTTCTAGCCAATTATGTGTATATCCTCTTTGGGAAAATGTTTATCCTATTCCTCTACTCATTTTTATTTTTTTTAAAGATTTTATTTATTTATTTGACAGAGAGTGAGAGAGCACAAGCAGGGAAGACAGTGGGGAGAGAGAGGGAGAAGTGGACTCCTGATGAGCAGGGAGCCCGATTCAGGGCTCAATCACAGGACCCTGGGATCATGACCTGAGCCACCCAGGTGCCCCTCCTCTACTCATTTTTAAATTGGATTGTTTTCTCCCATTAAGTTAGGAGTTTATAGATTTTAGATATTAACCCCTTATCAGATGATATGATTTGCAAAGATTTTCTCCATTCTGCAGGTTGTATTTTGTTGATGGATTCCTTTGTTGTGCAGAAACGTTTTAGTTTGATCATGGGATATTATTCTTTTAATATATGACTCAATTTAGTTTGCTAATATTTTGTTGAGAATTTTTGCACCTACATTCATTAGAGATATGGACCTATAGTTTTGTTTTCTTCAAGTGTCCTTATCTGGCTTCAGTATCAGGGTAATGCTACCCTTCTAAAAGGATTGGGGATATTCCCTTCTCATTAATTTTTTGGAACACTTTGAAAAAGATTGGCATTAATTCTTCTTTAAATATTTGGTAGAATTCACCAGTGAAACCATCTGACCCTGAGCTTTTCTAAAAGTTTAGAAAATTTTGATCACAGATTCATTCACCTTACTCATATTGATCTGTTTGATTTTCTGTATATTCGTGACTCAATCTTGTCAGGTTGTAGGTTTCTAGAAAGTTGTCCATTTCTTCTAGGTTATCCAATTTGTTGGTGTACAATTGTTCACAGTAAACTTCCGATCTTTCTAGATCTGTGGTATCAGTTGTAATGTCTCCTTTTCCATTTCTAATGTTTTTTGACTCTTTTTTCTTAGTTTGTCTAGCTAAAGGTGTGTCAATTTTTTTTCAAATAACCAGCTCTTAGTTTCATTCATCTTTTCTATTATTTTACTGATCTTTTTTTGAAGTAGCTTTACTAAGGTATAATTGGCATACAACAAATTGTACTTATTGAAATCATACAATTTCATAAGTTTTAACCCATGGAAACATCACTACAATCAAGATAATGAACATAGTCATCACCCTCACAATTTTCCTTATACCCCTTTGAAATTTCTTTGCCCCATATATGCCCACTCCAGTTCTTGCCCTTGGGCAACCAATGGTCTGTTTTCTGTGACTATCAATTAGTGTAAATTTTTCAGAATTTTTTTATTAATGGAATCATATAGTGTTACTCTTCTGTTTGCCCACTTTCAGCATAATTACTTTGAGATTTATCATGTGGTATGTATCAGTGGTTGATTCATTTTCATTGTTGGGAGACATTTCTGCTCCGATCTTTGTTATTTACTTCCATCTGCTACGTTTGGGCTTAGTTTCCTTTTGTATTTCCTTCAGGTATAAAGTTAGGTTGCTTATTTGAGATCTTTGTTTTCTGTGAGTTTATTTACACTTTCCCTCGTAGAATGTCTGGAGAAGCCCATAGGCTCCTATATTCTTTTCCAAAGACACACTTCTAAAAACACGCTTCCCTGGTTTGTTCCAGTTCTCTTCTTGCTAGTAACTGCTTTTCCGTGGTGTCTCATATGCACAGATCAACAGCCAAGCTACCAGCACGATAGCTTGGTCATTTTCCCTTCTCCATTTCCTTTCTCAGCTGTTTCAGATAGGGTATCCAGCAACCCCTTGGGCTTTTTTTTTTTTTTTTTTTTTTTCTTTACAGGGGGTGGGGAGCTTCCCTGTATTCATGCATTGGTCTGAAATGGTCCAAAAACTTGGTGAGTCCCTCCACATGGTGGTGGCTGACCAAGCTGGGATTTCTCCCACAAATGAGGAGGCCCTTGGCCTGCACTTGTTTTGTTTTCCATCTCCCGGCCAACTTGCCAATTGTTAGAAGCTGGAGGAAGGTCAGTAAAGCAAAAAGAAGGCACTTTGAGACTGAAAAACAAAGCAAGCCTTTCTTTACAGTTTTATTCAGGGTAACTTACTGACAGTGGGGAGCCACGGAGAATGGTTCACAGCAGACACAAAGATATTCTCCGCCCAGTCCGGGCCGTAATCCCCAGCTTTTATAGAGCAAGTGGTATGGCGGTGTAGCCACAGGGTAGTTTCCTGAAGTGGCGCCATCTGTGTGCACCAGAGGATCTCTACTAGGTATCTAAAGTGGAGCCTTCTGTATGCCACATTAAGGAAGCTCGAGATCAGAACTAGCCTTCCCACAGGGTATAGTTTAACCTCCTCCGGGCATGGAACTTGTCGGTCACCGCACAGGTGTGAACAAGATGGAGGGCCAAAGATGCAGTCAGTGCTGTCAGCTATAGTTTCAAAGTTTAAAAGCTTTTGAAACTGCGCATTCTGAGAGTGAGTGGCTTATCATCATGGAGCTGGGCTCCTTGACGTTAGTGGCTTATCCCATCTTGGAGCTGGGCTACCTATTACAGCAGATTTTCAGTATAGATAAATGAACTTTGGGGGAAACAAAATGCCCACTAGGACATTTTCCAGTAAAGCCTCTAAGGAAGTTAGTTACACTCTCATTTGGTGAAGTGAATTTGTAAACTTAGCATCTAATCCTACATAAAGTTACTTTGTGCTTAAGAACGAATGAGAGAGACTTACAAAAGGCTATGTAGCAGATGTTTTAAATAGAGAAGCTTCCTGACTAATTTAAAATATATTACTATCAATCAAGTAGAGTGAATGAATTTTGAAACAATAGATATTAGTGCTTATATATGGTTTTAATATTTGCTGAGTAAGTCATTAAAACTGGGTGATTACTTATTTATTGTCTATACATACTTCATTTAATATTTTCAGAGTACTTAATAAAATTTTTGTTCAAGTGATATATTTTAACTTGTGAACACATTTTCCACAACTCCGTTTACTATTTTAAAATTTTATTAAACCATAAAATTCTAAAGCAGAACAGAGAATCCAAGAACTCATTTACATCTCTATTTTACAAAGCACAGAAACCCAATGATGTCAGATGACTTAATTACAATATCTCCCAACCCAATATTTAATGTAGGAAATTCATTGCTAAGATTCTCCTTAAACATAAAGGGTATGTTACCATATTACCATACCACATCCCCATGTTACCATACCACATCTGTAGTATCTCTTTTTTAAAAAAAGCTTTTTTTACTTTTATACCGCAAAGTGAAATTTAAATGATCGTAGGAAGTATATTTGAACCTAATAAATTTAGTCTTTCTTCTTCACAGGCATTTAAATAAAAACTATAATAGAAATGAATCAGTTTAGGATCATACTAGGGGAACATGCATGCACATTTACTCCCTTGTGTTTATTAACCCTATCTAGAACTTTCTGATCTTTCTTTTCTAAAATATCATCATTCTTAAGTTTAATGATAAGTTCTTAAGTTTAATGATATTTGTGGTATAAAAATTATTCTCTAAAGACTCAAATTTGTACATCTCTTGGTGTCTGACAAATAATACAAGCTGCCCATATAGAACAATTTTGTAAGGAATGACTATATTTCTGATCCTTCTTTTGTGGAGACTTAAGTGTTCAATAAGGTCTCAAAGTATATTCCAATTCACATAGCCTATTATTGACTGCAGCAAATCAACCTAGAATTATATAGAACACAAAGCCTTTTGCTTTAGGAAAACAAAGAACCTCTAATGGTCAGCAAAAGACAATCAGAAGTTGGAACCTGGATACCAAGGCTTTAATGTCCTCTCATGGGGCCAAGTCTGGGTAGGAAGGCTCCTTGTCTAATACAGTCTCCCATTTTTATAGAGTTTAGAGGTTGGGGGTAGAATGGGAAGGTTCATTTAACTCTAAAGTCTCTCCCAGAATGAAATGTATATGCTTTTACTGAATACTAAACAGTCAATATAAATATTGAACACATCTTGTGTGTAGCAAATCGCAAGCAATGTGTCCTCAAAATTATAGTACAAAATACAAAACAATTTTAGACTTCAAATTTTGTAAGTAGTAGTTTCTGGTATTTTAGATATTAAGGAAAATATCAAATGTGGAAAATGATGTTGACAATATCACTGAAAAAAAGTGTAGATATATAAAATACATTACATTTGAAGTGTTTCTAAGCGTGCTTTTGATTTTAAATCCATTAAACCCTTTTAACCCTCTCATTTTCTATTTTAATTACCTCTACCTAAGTCCAATTCTTCACTCTTTTTCAACTTAGTTTCTCTCCAAAATCTTCCTTGATTATTCCTAACTTTACTAATCTCTTTTCTGAATTTCCCAACAAGAAAAATGAGTCTCTAATACCTGACAGATATTTAAAAAACTCTTGCTCGTTAAGTACTTTAATTGAACATTTCCTTCTTCCCGCTGGAATACAAATGCTGAAAATAGTGAAGTATATGAGATTGTAAAAGAAGCAATAGCTAGAAGGTAAACACTGGCTTAACAGCCAACAGGCAGGGAGCAAAGTGGGATCCTCTTCCTCAGTGGAAACCATTTGTGAAGAATAAAGTTGGTTGTATAGGAGGGATTATAAAGGAAGTTCTGGGCCCCAGCCTGAATGAAATGGGCTCAACTGAAAAAAATCTTTTTGCAATCATTTGAACATTGCAGGGTCCAAGACTGAGTCATCACGATATGGGAATTCAGCCAATGATTGGAACAAAAAGGGCAAGCTCTCATGAAACCAAATGCTTTGTCACCTCTTGGCAGGAAAGAGAGGACCCCTGGACATGCCTCCTCCAGGGGGAGGGTGTTGATCTCGCTGGAGGAATGCTAAGGGCTCAAAAATGTCATTTTTGTTCTTCAATGATAATTTCATGCTCCAGTGTTGTTTTAGTGGTCTCCATGGGGAATGGAGATACCTTGGTGGGGGAGCTTTGGTTGGGCAAAGGGGTAGGAGATCCAGGCAGGGTTGATAAGGCAGGAGATGGGGTAGAACCAGGGATGCAGGTGACATGATTCGACTTTCCATCTGCGTGAATGATGATGGTTGTACTGTTGACAGGCTTGCTGAAGTGGACAAAATATAAGACCAGAACAACAAGTGTTGTGGCAATTAGACAGGCCAAGAGACACACCAGAAATGTTTTCCAGAGTGACCATGGTTTTGCTGTAACCTGTAATGAATTATGAAAGTGAATATTTCAGCAAATGAGATAGTAGTGACTTAGGCAGCTGATTTCAGTTAGAATAAGGCTAATCTGTTTCATTACTCCAAATGCTATAATTTCAGGTACAGTTCATTAGCTGTCTCTTCCATTCCCTCCCTCTCTCTCTCTGTCTCACACACACACACCTTGTCCACAAGTCCATGAAGACAAAATGTTCCCTCGGAATTCCCCCTTTGTACTAAAGCAATAAGGTATCATCTCATATGCAAATAGATTGCCTCTGGAATATATTACTGTTAAGTTATGATCAGCTACTAACATCACAATATAAATTATCTAGTAGTCCTCATTGCTAAAAAAAAGTGATGAAAATGTATATCGAAACATTTAGATTGGTTACCTTAGAGTGATGAAAAAATGGCAGGTGTTCTTTGGCTCATTGTTAGCTCCTATTTTCATATTACATATTGAAATTTTATATTTAGAAAAATATTTTTTAAATAATTTTTATCTCTTATACAGAAGAGAACTTTCACTGAGCTTGGAAAGATATCAAAATAGAACACGTATTAGCTCTGGTATGGGGTAGGGTCTTCAAGGAATAGAAAGAAACCCTGATAAACTGTTGGGGGCCGTGAGTCCCCGTTGTCACCAGGATCTTGTGGACTGGCAGCACAGGAGAAGTACAGAGTAGTCAAAGGGCATGGGGCCAACGAGGGGTTAAAGGACACAAGAGCCCTGTAGGGAGTCTGTGGAGCAGGGCCTGCCTGCCCCATTTCACCCGTGCTCCAGGACTGCTAAAGACTCCCCACCTCCCCCCAGTCCCCAAATCTTACCCACTGCGGCTGGAGGGTCCCTGTGGGCAATCTACAACCACAGTGGGTTCCTTCATTCGAACAGTATGGATTTCTGGGCAACTGCAGAGAAAGAATTTTTTAAATAAATAAATGAACAAGCAAGTCTTATTGTTAAAGATGAAGAAAGTTTTATCTGGGAACATAAACCAATGAAGCACATATAAATGATGTGAATCCAACATGCGTTAAAGGAAGAACCAACCAAGTTCTAGAAGAATCTGAAACTCTAATAAATGGTAGGATGATATGAATTGTACAGATACACTTTTCACATCAAATGATCAATGAAAAATAAAATGATTGATTCAACAGATGCCCAAGGATCATTTTCATAAATTTCAGCATTAGTCTTGACAAAAGCAGACCATACAAATCTCAAAGAACTACAAATAAAATAGACTGGCACCGTATTTAACTGTGAAACATTCGGCACATTTCTTTAAAGCCAGGAGGAGTGAAGAACGTCTCCTACCACCTATATTAGGTCATGTTTTTCTAGAAGTTCCCATCAGTGTGTGTGAATAATGGAAATGGGAATATAAAATTAACATTTTTTCTACATCATATGACTGCTTACAAACAGGATCTCAAATAACCATACAATCTCTCAAAAGGAGTAAGAACTCATTGAATTGGCTCATTATAAAAATATGAAAAGTATATGTAACATCACTTGTTTGTGTGTGTGTGTGTGTGTGTGTGTGTGCACTGCTGTTCACAGTAATAAAGCAATATAAAACGGCCTAAGCATATCAAATGCTATAGGACTTACATAAAGAAAACCACAACCCTTTACTGAGAAACAGAAAGACAATTTGGATAAACATCCTGTTATAAAAACATTTCAGCAGTATAAGCTCTCAATTCTCTGAGTTTTAATTAATATCTTTATGGGCTTTTTGGAGGAAAAACAAGAAAATTGACAAAACTTTCACATGGCAAAATAAAACAATTGTAAGAATAAAATTAGATTGGATGGGAGAGGGGACAGGAAGTAAAATATTAGCAGTGATCTTTTTTTCTGGGAGGGATCATGGGTGATTTTTTCTTTGTTCTTTGTTATTGTCTATATTTTCCAAAGGCTCTAAAATGAGCAAATAAACTCATAGCAATTGTAAAAGAAATTTTTTCTACTTGTTGTTTTTGGGGACTTAAGAAGTTATAGACTGTCAGATTCAAAAAAAAAAAAAAAATGGGGAAATCCAAACATTCCTTTCATGGTTTCAGAAGTCAGTTTCACTATTTGGGTTTTTTGTTTGTTTCTTTTTTGGGTTTTTTTGTTTGTTTGCTTGGTTTTTTGTTTTTGTTTTTGTTTTTTTTTTAGCTAGATTATCTAATCATTTGACTTAATGGAATAAATTGCATAGATTTTGGCATGTGGGGAAATAAGATAACTCACACTTAATTTATAATGAAAAGGAGAAGGAAATAAAATGATGTATATATGATATTAAAGAGATGACATTTTGTAACTTCCTTGAAATATGAGTCATCCTCTAAAATAAGTTTATGACAGTCTAGTTGCTGAATCCCGAGACTGATCACAAATATGACCTTCATGTGGCGAAACAAATCTTTTATCAAAGCCTATCTTTCTATTTATTTCTTCTGATTCGTCTCTTGGTTCTACAATCTCAGGTTGATTTAAAATTCGTTTTTCTGGGGCGCCTGGGTGGCTCAGTGGGTTAAAGCCTCTGCCTTCAGCTCAGGTCATGATCCCGGGCTCCTGGGATCAAGCCCCATCGGGCTCTCTGCTCAGAAGGGAGCCTGCTTCCCCTCTCTCTCTGCCTGCCTCTCTGCCTCTTTGTGATCTCTGTCAAATAAACAAAATCTTTAAAAAAATAAAATTCATTTTTCTTTATTATGAGCATAGCAGTAAAGTTTTCTGAAAAGTAGTTCCTTATATTGATATTATAGGGGTGCCTGAATGCCTCATTGGGTTAAGCATCTGCCTTTAGCTCAGGTCATGATCTCAGGGTCCTGGGATCGAGCCCCACATCAGACTCCTTGCCCAGTGGGGAGTCTGCTTTTCTCTCTCCTTCTGTTCATGATCTCGCGCTCTCTCTCACTTGCTCACTCCCTCTCTCAAATAAAATCTTTAACAAAAAATGAGATTAAATGAGAAATCTGAGTTCTATTTCTGACTCTGCCACTAGCTAAGTAGACTCTTCTTTTTTTTTAAAGAGTTTATTTATTTATTTGACAGAGAGAAACATAGCAAGAAAGGGAGCACAAGCAGGAGTGGGAATGCAGGCTTCCAGCTGAACAGGGAGTCTGATGCGGGGCTCAAACCCAGGACCAGGACCCTGGGATCATGACTGGAGCCGAAGCTTAACAACTGAGCCACCCAGGCGCCCTAGCTAAGTGGACTCTTGATGTTTCAATTCCCCTATATGCAAAATGAAAAGATTTGTTTGAATGAGGAGTGAGACCCCATACACGTTCCAAAAAATATGATTTTTATATTACTAGAGTAACATATTTTCAGTGTAAGTCTCCCTGTGAGACATTTTCCATAAATTACTACTTTAAATACATACATATTGGTGAATGAGAATAGATATTTTCATTGCATCAAAATATATTGTAATAAATAATAACATAAACAATATAAAATAAACATAAATAGTAATAAATATTAATGTGTGCTATTAACAACATTCCAAATAATTTTACTAAAAATTCTGTCTAGAGGTACCTTATATATAAACATCAAAATTCAGCAAAATATCAAAATTTAGGCAAAAAGTCTAATGCATAATTCCCAAATGATATGAAAAGCAGTATCTGGCATATTAAATAACCCCTCTCGACACTTGTGATTGCTGGTAATAACATCTCAGATTCCATTCACCCTACAATAGCAAAATCAGAAAAATGCAACCTAACTTTCTTGAAGTGTTACATGTTCAATGTTGAAAGCAAGACTATGAGCCGGGAGAGCAGCTAAAAGGCGTTTGTACTCACCAGCTCTACTGGACTTCGTTCAATATCCTCAGTGTGATGCCGGTCGCCATGCATTCTGACGGGGCTGCAACTCCAGAGATGTCTATACTCGCTTTGTGGGTGAGAAGTTGGAAAATCCCAGATTTATGTTAAATTAATAATTGTATTTATTCAATCTGGATTATATAAGAAAATAGTCATTTAGTTTCCAAAAAAAAAAAAAAAAGAATTCCAAATTCAACCCCAAAGTACACGATGTATGCTTGCTGAGGAAAAACAAATAGAAAAACTTGCTCCTTCAGAAAAACAACGGGCAGAAAGTTATCTCAGCTGTAAGAAAGACTCCAGGATTCTGAGCAGATATAAACCTTGCCCTCCTTATTTCACATAATTCATTTAAATCATGAAAACTTGATTTCTCATGGGTTAGGAATTTAGTTGTTGTTTCTTAAAAAAACTCACAGAGCCACTCCTTGATTATGAACATTTGCAGAATATTCTGTAGCTAGGCAGAGGGATTATGGCAATGACTAATTTCAAAACTTTTCAGAAATAAAAGAATATTGAGGTTACAGGGTCATGATAAGTGTAGAGGGATAGTGAATAAAATCTATGGCGTTGTTGAAGTCAGTGGCTATACTGAGATGGACAAGGGAAGTAAAAAAATGGTTTTACCCAAAAATACAGATGAAAAAGGAAATAAGTATACTTCAGGAGCTCCTGATTGTATGACTCAAGGATTATCCACGGTACATCTGATCTGCTTCTGTTTAAATTTGTGTTGCTTTAGGCTATGTAATGATGTCACCGCTTCTCATGAATCCCAATCTTTTTGATGAGCAAGAACTAGAAAAGAAACAATGTCTCTGGTACTTTTCTATCTCTCCCAAGGAAAAGTTCACATGATACAGCATGCAAAATTGCGGTGGTGTTTTACATCAACCTGAGAACTGTTGCTCCCTGGGCCTTTGACAATGTGGCACGCTGTATGGAATGGAGAAAAAATGACTTTAAAGATCCTTTTTAGTCATGCATTTCCTGGAAGCCAACAACTTCCAGCAGGGAGGCTAATGACATGAATTTATAAACTATTAATAAATTTACACATATCCTAATTCAAAAGCAGGCATGTCTTCTTATTGTGTGATAAGTAGATTCATGGAAAAAAATGTATGTAACTAATTCCAAACTTCTAGACTTCTCATTAAACAAATATTAAATGACATGATTAAATTTATTTTACATTTGTTTTGTACAAGTAACTTTCATAGTTTTGTATGTCAGCAACAAATACTCAGAAAACTAAAAAAGAGATATTTAAAGAACATTTTCAAGTATCTAGAAATAAATTTACTAATAGAGGTATTACTACTTCCAAATGGAAAAAAATTATGAAATTTAAATGAGTAAATCATTAATGAAATCCTAAATAAATATATGGCTGGCAGCAACATAAATTGGTAAAACAACTTGAAAAGCATTTGATACTATCTAGGAAATTTGAAGATATTCATATACTATATGATCTAACAATTCCACCCCCAGTATGTTTCCTGTGGAAAGACACACACACACACACACACACACACACACACACACACACATGAAAATTTATAGAAGCATTATTTATCAATTTTTTGGAAATGTCCCAAATTCACATCAACAGCAGAACAGATAAGTAAATTGTGATATATTTGTACAATAAAATACTTTCACCAATAAAAATGAATAAACTATTACTAAACACATCAGATCTATGATTCTGACAAATACGCAGTGGGACAATAACAGACATTAAACTAAATTGTCTTTTGTAGAGATACATTCATAAGTGATATGTACATTTTTTAAAGAACAAGGAAATGATTAATAGTAGTTACCTCTCAAGGGTGGGAGAAAAGCAGAATTGGGGCTGGATACAATGTGGAGGGACTCGAGGAGCTAGAAGTATCCTGTTTGTTTGTTTTTTTAAGATTTTTACTATTTATTCGACAGAGAGAGAGCACAAGTAGGCAAAGCAGCAGGCAGAGGGAGAGGGAGAAGTAGGCTCTCAGCTGATCAGGGAGCCCAAAGTGGGGCTCCATCCCAGGACTCTGGGATCATGACCTGAGCTGAAGGCAGACCCCCAACCAACTGAGCCACTCAGGCGCCCCAGGAAGTATCCTATTTTTTTTTAATTTTATTTTTTATAAACATATATTTTTTCCCCAGGGGTACAGGTCTGTGAATCGCCAGGTTTACACACTTCACAGCACTCACCATAGCACAAAACCTACCCAGTGTCCATACCCCACCCCCCCTTCCAAACCCCCACCCCCCAGCAACCCTCAGTTTGTTTTGTGAGATTAAGAGTCACTTATGGTTTATCTCCCTCCCAATCCCATCTTGCTTCATTTACTCTTCTCCTACCCCCTTAACCCCCCATGTTCCGTCTCCTCTCCCTCATATCAGGGAGATCATATGATAGTTGTCTTTCTCTGACTGACTTATTTCGCTAAGCATGATACCATCTAGTTCCATCCACGTCGTCGCAAATGGCAAGATTTCTTTTTTTGATGGCTGCATAGTATTCCATTGTGTATATATACCACATCTTCTTTATCCATTCGTCTGTTGATGGACATCTAGGTTCTTTCCATAGTTTGGCTATTGTAGACATTGTTGCTATAAACATTCGGGTGCACGTGCCCCTTCGGATCACTACGTTTGTATCTTTAGGGTAAATACCCAGCAGTGCAATTGCTGGGTCATAGGGTAGTTCAATTTTCAACATTTTGAGGAACCTCCATGCTGTTTTCCAGAGTGGTTGCACCAGCTTGCATTCCCACCAACAGTGTAGGAGGGTTCCCCTTTCTCCACATCCTCGCCAGCATCTGTCATTTCCTGACTTGTTAATTTAGCCATTCTGACTGGTGTGAGGTGGTATCTCATTGTGGTTTTGATTTGTATTTCCCTGATGCCGAGTGATATGGAGCACTTTTTCATGTGTCTGTTGGCCATCTGGATGTCTTCTTTGCAGAAATGTCTGTTCATGTCTTCTGCCCATTTCTTGATTGGATTATTTGTTCTTTGGGTGTTGAGTTTGCTAAGTTCTTTATAGATTCTGGACACTGACCCTTTATCTGATATGTCATTTGCAAATATCTTCTCCCATTCTGTCAGTTGTCTTTTGGTTTTGTTCACTGTTTCCTTTGCTGTGCAAAAGCTTTTGATCTTGATAAAATCCCAATAGTTCATTTTTGCCCTTGCTTCCCTTGCCTTTGGCGATGTTCCTAGGAAGATGTTGCTGCGGCTGAGGTCGAAGAGGTTGCCGCCTGTGTTCTCCTCAAGGATGTTGATGGATTCCTTTCTCACATTGAGGTCCTTCATCCATTTTGAGTCTATTTTCGTGTGTGATGTAAGGAAATGATCCAATTTCATTTTTCTGCATGTGGCTGTCCAATTTTCCCAACACCATTTATTGAAGAGGCTGTCTTTTTTCTATTGGACATTCTTTCCTGCTTTGTCGAAGATTAGTTGACCATAGAGTTGAGGGTCTATTTCTGGGCTCTCTATTCTGTTCCATTGGTCTATGTGTCTGTCTTTGTGCCAGTACCATGCTGTCTTGATGATGACAGCTTTGTAATAGAGCTTGAAGTCCGGAATTGTGACGCCATCAACTTTGGCTTTCTTTTTCAATATTCCTTTGGCTATTCGCGGTCTTTTCTGGTTCCATATAAATTTTAGGATTATTTGTTCCATTTCTTTGAAAAAAATGGATGGTACTTTGATAGGAATTGCATTA